CACAAATGGATAGTGTTTGCTGAATACTTAAAAATTAAGAAGCAGGAATAATTGAACTAAATAATAAAAGGAACTCAAATCCACAATATAATGCAAAAAAAATTTGAAAATCTCGTTATGTAAATACAGAAGATTCGGAAACGCCTTCAATTGAGGCGTGATACCTCACGCGTTCCGGAGAGTTCAAATATTTCAATCCCTGCGCCTCAGCAAGGCGATGGAAGTTTAATGTTGAAGTAACGTCCCCGCTTGGTTTTTCGGCTTTCCTGTGCCGCCAGGGGCGGACTTGCCATGGGGGCGGGGAAGCGATCGCACCCTAACAATTTGCCGCGGAGGTCCCGAAGGGGCCCCCGCAGCGAATTTTTTTCGAATCATCGTTTTTTCCCCGTAATGCTGTAATTTTCTTATCCTTTTTAATCACTAAAAGGCCCCGAATTCCTTTAAAATTTGTCTCTAAGAGACATGGAAGGTCGCCGAAAGCATTTGTGATGAAGGGATCCCCGATGAATACTAGAATGGGTTATTTTGAAGTTCAAGTACTGCAGAATTCAACTCCAATAATGCCTACGTGTTTAAAAAGTGTGAAATTTTCAAAATTTACCGGGGGAGGGCCTCCGGACCTTCTTAGAGGGGCCCCCGAACGACAGGAGGGGCCCTTACATTTAGGTCTCCTCCTAACTTTGCGACTACCAGTCCACCCCTGCTCGGCGAAGCTGATGATGAAGTCTCTCTGAGAGAAGCTCTCTGAGTCGAGGAACGCTGAAAAACGAGTGTTTGACCCTTTGGTGAGAGTTCATCAAAGGCCCGTTTTTTGGCGATCTCTCGGTCGTGGGGCCGCAAGTCTCAAAGCGCCTCAAAGGGCGGAATGGATTGAGGGAATGGGTGGGTGGTCAGAGCAATGATGATGCAAAGGCATGATTTCCTCACATCAGTGTGCGCAGCGGTACCATGGACTAACCTTTGAGGGTCCAAATCGAATGTTGGCCGATTGAGCCGAAACCAATCTAGCACCCTTGGAAACGATGCGCTGAGTCCGATATTCGGGTCTAAAAAACTCCACAAGTCCGCTAGAGCACGCCACCAGCGGAAAATATGCATCCGGTTAAGAGTGGCTTGGTTTTAGATCAATCGGTGAACTTGATTTTGGCTGTTAAATTTTTTTGCATAACAAAATCAGGGACTGTCTTAAAATGCTTTTCTGGGACTCAATCGGATTTACCCTTATTACATCAGATATCGCTTGATCTCTGATGCTTCATTTTTCCAACCGGAGACGAATCAATATTGAGACTTGGGGAAGAACTAGATGAGCATTTTGATGGAATTTCTTGAGGTTGATGTCAGTCTTAATTTTGGTTAAAATTAAATTAAGCAGTGTTTTTTTGTGAGCAATACACTAACAGAAGAAACAACCTGTTCCGTAGAAATGATAGATGAGTATGGAAAAAAAGGCCAGATATTCTTGTTATTCAAAATCATTTATTGGTTTGTTACACGGTAATATAAGTGAGCATGTTCTTAAAAAAATGATTGCGACTCTACAGAAAATTAGATTTATGACTGAAATGTGAAGAGCTATAAATTTTACAACTGGATGGACTTACGGAGACAGTAACTTAAAAAAATATAGACCAAACTAGCGATTGGAACAACAAATGATTTTACAAGATTACATCAGAGATAAATAAAGAAATAAGAAAAAAACCGATTTTTCTATTGCTTTAATTAAGAACTGAGTTCATGAGGATATTTAAAAATTTCAAAATAATTACATACAATGCAGACACTTTACAATAATGTACAAATCAGTACTTAGTACTGCTCAATTATAAAAATAGGTAATTACTAAACCCCCCTTCCCCTATTTACTTTCATTACTACATCTAAGTAATTCAAAAGACTAGTAATCATCTTCCACAAAACTTGTTAGGACCTTTCTTTGTTATCAGTCAAAAATTGATAAACTGAAAAACAATACAAGTAAACAAAAAACAAACAGATAAAATGGAAAATAAAGTAATAATTAATAATAAAAAAAAGGTCTGAGGGAATAGTTTGGACGAATGCCATGAGTTTTTTACCCTCGCAACAAATTTAGAATTCACAATGTTTTCATTTATTTTCGGTATGACATGTTTTGCAGAGTGGGTGATGATTGGAAAAAAGAAAGAAAATGAGTAACTAACAAAATCACATGAGAAGAAAAAACTCAAAGAAACTTGCTCAATGCAAAATAAATAATTGCGTAACCTAGCTCAACAAATTGAATAAATGCAGTTATAGGAAGGAAATAAAAAAAAATTATTAAAATATGGATAAGGGGATTGATACATTAATCCTTGGTATTTTTTTATATCTGTTTTTTTTTTAAAATAGTTAGAGTTAATTCTAGGAAATCAAAATTAGGTTTAAGCACCATTATTTCTCCTGAGGAAAAGGGACTTGAAATTCATGGATAAAATTAATAGTAAAAGAATGGAAAAGGAATGTTAAATAGATTTTGTCACTAAAGGACAATCTTATTTTTTCTCTTACTTTGCGGTAAAGATTACCAAGACAGTTTTAAACCCAGAAAAATCAGTTCAGTAGATTTGAACACTTTAAATAACAATTATACATTTCTTCTCGTCTTGACAAATTTTTGAAACAAGGCATACATCTTAACAATATGCAACATTTCTAACTTTCACTTGAAATCAGAGGCAGAAATATTTCTTTAATTTGAATGATGGCAGCATTGCAAAAAGTGAAAAAATGGGTGTATACATGATGGCAAGTCGAAGAAAATAAAAAACAAAAATGCAATTATATGAGATAAGAGAATGCAATAAAAATTAATATGATTGTTAAGTATAGTAATCGTCAGCAGTTCCAGATTTTGTCTTAAATTTTATGATGGCACAATTTGTAATCATTCCACTTATTTGTCTTTCATTTTTCATAAAGATTCTGTTCAAATAGATTCAACTAACATTCAATTTAGGAGGGAAAGGATAGAAATTATGAAGTCTGAATTCAACGAAAATATTCTGGACAAAATGAATCCCTTTTCTGTTATGTATTTTAGTATGATTTTAATTTAAATTTTTCTCGGAATTGAACCATTTACACCATCATTACTTCTAAACTCTGAGTCTACTTGTTGAAAAAGAAGAAAAAAAAATATTCTCAACAGCCTCCTTTTAAAATTTCAAATAATACAAGTACGAATAGACTACAAGAAAGGCAAAAAAAATTGAGTAAAGTTTAGCAAGCTGTCTGAGCAACACAGGTTAAGTATTTATGTATAAATTGGTATTTTTCTATTACGATTCTCCAAGGAAATTACATACAAAAAAAGAAATAATGCCACAATGAAACTGATTAAAATTTTGACTCCAAGAAGAGAGAGTCAATTTCTTAAAACTTGAAATCAAAATATCATTCAATCAAGTGCAAGGAGGGAAATACAGTATTAACAAGTAAGGATAGAACAACTTACACGCCAAAACGGACAGGTTTAGTTTAGAGAGTAGTCGAGTGTATTACAAGTTTTTCAGGGCAATCAACCAGCAAACACAAAAAAATCATGCATTGGGTAAAAGTGTCTATCTCATATAAAATGAATTGGAGGAAAACTGACGAATCCCGTGACTAAAACCACAGAAAAAGAGAGCATCTTTGATTGCATCCTCGATGTAACCTTTCAATAAAATAACTAGTTTATCATTGCAAAATGCGATGAACAAATTTAAAAATTTTACGAACGTCTTAGAACTAATCCACTTAATTCAGCCGAGTCTTTTGATAAAATTTTAACTTTCATTTATCAATTTTTAATACTAATATTTTGACTTGAAGTTGTCAACTACTGTAAACATGAGATTAGCTACAGTAGGTAATTCTAAACAAATTTAGCCCTTCTCAAGAATATCAATTAGATTCGTGTCATGCAATTTTTCGATAACTTCATTAACAAGACTAAAAAATAAAGAATTTGGATAGATTAAACGATGTTTCTATTTAAAAATGTACAGGGAGGACATTGTGAAATATTAGAAAATCTTAACTAGGGTAAAAAGGTAACAATCTGTATTATTTACACTATCTTACAAAAACTTTACGAGGTGTCGGACGCATACGATGAACAATTTTCTTACACCGCATTACGCTTCAGGATATTATTCAGTCAATTCTTTGAAAAAGATAACACTTTACAGCATAACCTAATATTGCAAGAAAAAAAATCTGGATACTAGAGTATTAACATTTTCATACAATATTACACATATCATACATATAAAATAAAAAGAAAAGGCTTATACATTTAATAACCAAAAGATACAATGTAATGAACGCAAAGATAAATTATAATGAGTATCACACAGAGACTTTATTTTGATGTAGAACCCATTTACTTTTTGAGACAGGACAACTTGCTGTTTCAGTAAATAATGCATCACAGCACGGTTTCTTCTCATCTAGGATTATTTCTTATTTTCATTGGGTATACACATACTTTTTCCATTAAGTACTCTTAAATGTTTTTGCAGCATTTTGTATTTGAATGAAGATTCGCAAAATTTAAGTACGATTAAGAGATATCATCTCTACTTTCTTCACTACAAAAAAAAAAATAAATAAATAAAATAAAAAATAAAGAGGAAAAAATACTGATAGTATCTTCTTGGACAGGATGAAAAAATAAAACATTTTCATCTTGCGAAGAGTTTCATTCATAACGATCTCCAAAGAAGAAAAAATGATAATATCTAACTCAACTTTCGAATTTGTAAGGACTTGTCATGGTTTTTCTTTTTTGTATATTTTGAAAAATTAATTGATTGTCGAGTCTAAGAACTGAAAAGTGACTAAAAAGCTTATGAGCTAAAACAAATGACATGAGTGGCCAAAGCGAATTAAATTCTCGAATATTTACAAACCTGTTGTTTTCCAAGTTCTGTAGATACACTAACAAGGAGTTATCTAGATTTACAATATGTACAATCAATTCGTCACATAAGACTATCGGACAGGAATTTAGAAAAAATAAAGTTATTTTAAATTATAATAGAAAATAAAAAATAAATATTAAGCGTATCACTTCAAGCACAGCTCTTTCAAGTTTTCTTCTCATTTGAAACGAAAAGTCTACCGGAGCAGCTTCAATTATCGGATTCTAATCGTTTGTGAGTTCTTCGTTTCCTTTTCCTACGACTAGCTTCTTTCCTGAAAGCTACGTTGCCAGGATCATCGGCTAACTGTGGATACCTTTGAATGCTATGAATGTCAATACCTTCATAACCTTCTACTTTGCCGCGAAGGGTCAGTTCTTCCTGCTCTTCGGAGGTCCAATCTCCGCGACCTCCACCCAAACCTGAGGAGACGAGAGATTTCTCAATCTCCCATGCTCTGTCCACAGCTCTTTTGTGAGCATGTTTCAAAAGTCTATGTCGCTCTTGTTGTGGGTCTGAGCCGTATCGTATTGAAACAATAGCGTCCGTGCTGTGAAGCCGCAACTCTTTCCCATCAGCAGTTTCATGAGTAGAAACATTGAACATTCCGCCCAGCCGTCGAAGTTCATCAAGGTCATCTCGTAGCTTCAAGGCATTATCCTGGAATAAAAAAAACAACAAAGTGTGATTAATGTAAAAGCTCATCCATTCAATAATATTACAAAAAAGATTTAATACAAAATTGATTATGATAATATTAATGTATGAGTTGCAGCTGGTTTTATTCATTTCCATCCCAATATTTTTAAGCTGCCAACTTCAAGCTGCCATAAATTCAATTAAGTTTAACAAATTTTTTTGCCTCCTTTGTGTCAAAATCTTTATGAGACTTGCTTCTTACGTAATTGACTCAGTGTTAGATTTTGAGGCACCAAAGTCCTTTACCCATGGCGATTACAAATAGGCTGGAGGAGATCAAATGTACAAACCTTAACAAAGTAGAAGAGATCCTGATCGTGCTGGCTGAAGTGTAGATCCAGGAAGAACGAGTTGTTGAAGACTGATGTGACAACGTCCTGCACGACCGAGTTGACTCCTTCGACGATCGAAACTAGTGCTCGGCCGTTTCCAGTGCGAGAGATGAGAAGTCCTTCACCAAACACAGCCTTCCTGTATGCCACTCTCGGTAACAAGTTACGGGTCCTCGCTTCCGACTTCAGCAGAGGATGAGCGACAAAACCCAGGTGGCTGAACTGTTCTTTGACCTGTGAAAGGAAAGCAATCAATGAAAAATGTGTTTGCTATATGGGGCAGCCTTTCAATGTTCATCGCAAAAATTAAATTGTTAGACAGTAAATTGAAAACTTTGCTGCAAGACAAGCAAGACCTTAGGGTATGAGGACAGAGACTTTTATCAAAACATCTGGATACCATATGATAAAGAGATACAAGACTTTCAATTTTTTCAATACAAAGTATGATCTAATACGACTGAAACATCCGTTTTTGAATAATGCACTGTTACATAACTGAGAGGCAAAATGAATAATTATTTCAGCGTTCATTCCATTATCTTTGGTTGATGATGTTTCCAGATTTTTCAAAGCGGATTTTAAAAAACTAACTCCCTAGGATGTAAAAACATGTCTTCACAGTAAGATTTGGAATACAGAGGTCAAAATTCTTAAAAATGCAGTCTAAAGAGGGGCATTAGAACTATGTTTGTCAAGTTCATCAAAAAACAGCAGAGAGTAACTCCAAAGTTTTAGGTCAACAAATTGCATTCAAAAAAAAAAAAAAGTAATTACCTTATCTACGATGCAGCCTAGACCAGACATAACACCAAAATCGGGTGCGAGCTGAGGAGAGTGTACTTTTGAATTGCATTGATAGATCATTTTACTCGTGTAAGCTGAGCCCAACATAGCTTCAACATCATATCCGTATAATTTCAGCCAACTGTTCAAGTCTGAAAAACACAATGAAAAAAATTTCAATACTTTTCTAGAACTATAAAGAATACAAATAAAGCATTCAAAAAGAGCATAAAAAATCAGCGAATCTAGTTTTCATATTTTACTGAGATTGGGAACATTCCATGAACTATTGAATCACCTTCTTCAAGAAATATTCCAAAGGTCAAACTTCCATACATCTAAATTTTGTCCTCGGCAAACTAAATTAAATCTGAGCCAAAACTTTAGGAAATAAAATCAGGTAAGAGAAAATGCTTACCAATCATGTAGTTGACTTCTTGAGATGTCCTGGGGTTGATAGGGTCATTATTATGGAATCTATAGACGAATATGTCCGTGGGCACGGTCAGGTGTCCTGCTAGACGCTCCCACTCTGGCGTTAGCCACTGACCAACTGATGGGTCGTACCATCTCTTTTTCAGGTACAGAAGCCCCGTGTGTGGGTCGGGCATACCGCCTTGGAAGTCGACTGGCAGGAAGAAATTGGGATTCGAATCCCTGATAAGATGCCCGAATGGTGTGCGGCGGAATTCCTTGATGATGTTACCATTCGTATCAAATAAGGCAATAGGTGAACCATTCTGATCAGTCGCGACGTAGAATCTGGAAAAAATAGGAAAATTCATGAATGTTCCATTAGAACCTGATTAGATTAATTAGAAAGGATATACAGTGAATATCGGATATAACGACATCGGTTATAACGACATATCGGGCATAACGACGTAAACTGGTCGGTCCCGGCTGAAATCCCATTCATTCAATGTATTTATGTATCGGTTAGAACGACATCGCATATAACGACATATCGGTCATAGCGACGGAGTTTTCGCGTCCCAACAGATGTGGTGATCGGTTATAACGACCTGAGCGACAGCAACAGAGGCCGAAGAGGAGAGGATCTCGTTTCCAGACGCCCTAGAAGCCATCACAACTGTTCAAAAATTTCTAATTTTGAACTCAGAATGGAACGATTCCACTTTATCACACTTTACGCTCGGCCCATAGAGCGTTACAAAAAGGGTACGCGAACACGATTGTGAAGCAAAAAGAAATCACGGACTATTATTCAAATTAGAAGTTTTATACTTCTTCGGTATTGCGCATATGTATTGCAAACATAATGTAGTGTGTAGTGCATGTATTCTCAATATTATAAAATACCTTGTTTTTACAAATTCAAACAAAGTGTTTTAATTAAAATTAGTCCTAGAATAAAAAAATAAATGAATTAAATAAATATTCAATTCAAATAAAATTAGATAAAGCTAATAAACAAAGGTGTTACTGAAGAGATAATGAATCAGCAGCAAAATGCACCGGGCCCTGGAATCCCACCTACAGCACAGCCTTGTTCTCAGCTCTTTAACATAGGGTACGTGCGTAAAAATTCCACAATCGGTTATAACGACTATCGGCTATAACGACCGAATATGGCTGGTCCCTTCAAGGTCGTTATATCCGATATCCACTGTAATTCTACAAGTGCAGTATACTTGTTCTTTCCTTCATTTATTTGCCTCTGACTATACTGAATTTCAATATCATTTACTGTTTTCGCTTTTCAAAAAGTAGAAAAGAGCAAAATGAGCATTGCATATTGCGATGAGACTCCCGACTGAATAGTGAAAGAGACGAGTCCTGATCTGAATGCGACCCAATTTTAACTTTCAGCCGCAGCAGCAAATAAAATTCAATTTTAAAAAAAAACCAAAACCCAAAACCTAGACTTGATTAAATTTTGGCAGACTATAAAACTCAATTTTGAGGAGCACCTAAGACCACTCATAACTCTTTCAACGGGATATCTTAGGGATAACAGGGAAAAGTCATCATCCATTTTTTTATACATTAACTAAGAATAAATAAACCTTTTCTCCTGACCTCTGTCTCATTGAAATAACCATTTAAAAGAATTGATATGATTTTGAGGTTTACCTTTGTTCAGAAGTCTCAACAGCAACGATGAAACCTTTCTCATCATATAGGTATCTAAACGTAGTTCCAATCTTCGGGTAATGCAGATGAGAGACCAAATCTGGGCGCATTGGATCGGCATACAAAAGTTGGGTAATGTTTCCGGCAGTGTTGTGAATTGCGATCAGTCTTCCGCGATCATCATATCGATAGAATGCTGAGAACTTGTTGGGTTTGATTGCATGACTTAGCTGACCTCTCTCGTTATAACGTAACCGAACTTCTCCTCGTCTGATAACGAAACCTCGGGCATCATATCCGTTGAGTTCGACGTCACCAACCTGTTGAAAAAAAGTCAGAAGAAAAATATGATAAAAACTTTGCGTAAAAAGCAAAAACTACATTGGTGCTTAATATAATAAAGGAGTACTAGTTGCAAGCACTGATCAAAACATCCTATTTACATCTGAAGGTTCTACTGCAGATTTTTCCACGGTTATTTTTCATGTAGTTTTGAATTGCGGGAGGAAACATTGGCAGAAAGCTTGCAAGGACGAACATGTCACTCTTATACCAGTATATTCTCTTGTATTTTCATCACTATTATTCTTATTACTTATTGATGGCCAAAATGCAAAACCTTGTACCTCCGTTTGGAGTGTTGTAGATTTCCTGTTGTAAGTACTTTGTTTTTTTCCAGAAAACTAGTCAATGTAATTTCGGAAAAACTCTCACGATTTTTCATCTTTAGGAGCAGAATATTTTGTAGAAATTTCCAACTATAAAATTGGCCTCTTTGTCTTCAAAAAAATAAATTAGGGGCAAAAATTTTGGAACATTGCAATCCGGATGCAAGGTTGAGCACTTCAGCCAAACATGGATATTGAATCCTGGATAATGATTTTAAATGAATTACGAACCTGGGTCACTCTATCACCACTGTCGTAGCCAAGAGTAATTTTCTGTTTTCCTTCCATGACTCCAATTTTGTTGCCATTTTCATCGTATACGTACTTCCAATTATTGTTACCTACAACCTCTAGGATATGACCATCTGCTGTGTAAGACATTCTATCAGTGCTTGTAGTTCTACCCAACATGATTTTTTGATTCATGATACGGCTGCGCGAATCATAGTCCAGTTCCATTCTGAAACAATCAAAAATTTGTTAGAAAACAAAAAATACAGATCACATTGGCAATTTTTTCAAGGAGTAAAAAAAGAGGTGGAACTACCAAATTAACAAATGAGTGCCTTGGAAAAGAATGGGTGAAAAATCATCAGGAATTTGAAAATTGATGTATTAGAATTGGAGTACGTTTTTTCAGCAATGGATTTTTTTGAAACATTATGAAAGATGCCAGTTTACTACTAGATTCTAGAGGTAAAATAATATGAATTAAACCTATTCTTGAAAAAAAAAGAAGAAAATAGCCTGCAAGATCAAATAGTGTATTTTTCCTTCGGAAAATACACTAAAACTAGCAAAGTTTTTGTTTTGAATCATTTCCCTGCAAAATTCTCTGGGGAACAATCTTTGAAAAGAGTTTCCAGTAAATTAATAGAAAGTCCTCAAATTTCATTCAAGTTTTCGTTACATTGAAAGATTTCACCTTACATTTAAAAAGTTGTGGTTGTAAGAAAATTTCACAATTAGTTTAAACTAATATGAAATCCGATAAAAAATTTAACAGCTCACCTATAAACATCCAAAGATTTCACATTGATCAAAATATTTTTGATCCTGCCATGAGCATCATATTCTGTGACGGAGAAGAACTGCTTTGATGTGTCTTGAATCACAGATCGGTTGAAAGTGTTGCGATAAATGCGCAAGTCGCTCATTCCCTCCAAAGTTCCGAGGTTCTGGTTGTACTTGAGCTTCAACTGAGGTAGTTCTTTTCCGTCAATGCCCACCTCAATTTCAGATATTCTTGCATTTCCGTCAAACTGGAATCTAGACAATCGAAAATCGAAATTATTTAAAAATCCTGTTGCAAAAAGGTTTTTACTGAGCTTGATGAACGTATTAAAAAATTACTGTCACAATTCCTTTATAATTTCCTTCAAAAATTTATTTTCTTTGCTAATTCTTTCTTTGAGAAATTCTTGTTATCGTATACTTCATTACCATATGCACACTTTTTTTTGTTCTCCCTGCCTATTCATTATTTTAATGCATATTGCTCGATTTTTTGACAATGGTATCTAGATTTAGACATAAAAACTCTGATAAGATTCTACCAAGAGAAAACTAAAAGTTCGATGGCACCAATATATATGGGTGTAAGATTTAGATTTCAAAATTCTGAGAGAAGTTTTAGGAGTAATTAGAGGAAATACTGTAGAAGCAGAAAAATTCTGCATGAGAGTTATTGACAGTGATGCTTCCCAGATACTTATAATTCAATAAAATTGTATTGTTTAATATTCTAGCGATCGATTGGAAGTTAATTTCTTCGACTTTTAAAGTTGAAAATCTTAAATGGATAAATGAAGCGCCAAAGAATAAACGGTTACTAACTTGTAATGAGTGTTGTGAAGACCACTTTTGCTGCCGAACTTGAGTTTCTCATCCTTTGGAATACCCATGTGATAATGGAACTCATGTTTTAATTCGAAGCCAGGTTCAATAACATCAATGTTTTTCAGTAAACTGGTACTCTCTTGATAAGTGTAATGGATCGAGGACAAACCTGAAAAAAAATCATATTTAGGATTAAAGATAAGACAAAATAGTTTGTGTTTTCACCATTCACTTGAAATAGGTTTTTTTTCCTACTTTTCCATGATTTACGATGGAACTGGATAAGGAAATTTTCTTGAGCTTTCCATTCAAATACGTCTTGTGCAACATGACTTTCTTGCATTCCTGCCATGCTAAGGAAAAAGTATGTAGCCTATGTATGTATGAGCCTTGAGGCGTTGCTTTTCCTATGATAAGATACGAATTCATTGGAAGAGTTGTAAGTGTTTTCCTTCGAATTTTTAGGCAATTTTCTTTGCAAATAACTCTAAAAAATTTGAAAATTTCGAGGGAAAAAACACCATACTTTTTTCAAAAGTATTTGTTTTTATCAAGGCAACATTTGAATGTTCATACAGCGTTTTTAATTAGCATGGCAGCTTTGATGACTATTTCTAAAATTTATCATCTTGTGTCTCGGTAATTTTCAGCTGATATTCAAACGTAAAATTATCAAGTCTTGATAAAGCTATCTGCCTTTCCCAAAATTTAAATAAAATAAACAAATGATAAATGTAGGAAAGTTGATCATATTCCTGAAATTTACAGAGAATAAAAATTATATTCAAAGAAAGGAACAAAAGCAATAAATATATACCTGCTAAAACAGTATCCAGTTTTCCAGATTGATCGTAGACGTAAGCTACTCTGCCTGATTGATGAGGGTACAATTTTGCAATGACTTGACCCTCATCGTTGTACCTCAGCTCGTATGGATGGCGACTTGTTGGAGAGTAGTATTGATATTTGAAGAAACCAAGGGAGGTTTGTAACGAGAAAGCGTGGATATGACCGCGAGGAGTTGTTAATGACTGTAAGGCACCAGCATCATCGTATTGAAGAAGATAATCGCTTCCTCTTGGCGTAGTTACTTTCAGAGGCTAGAAAAAAAATTTATCGATGATCAGAAAAAATGGATATTATGATTGAAATATGACATGAAGCAGTATTTCATTTGAATTTAGAATGCTCTAGTATTGATTTGGAGCCTTTTTTCTTTTCTCGATTGTTACTTGACAAATTGATCATTGACGGCAAATGAGGTATTAATCATACAGTGCTTTACATTTATGTTTCCGCTGTATAGCTATGTGTACGAAATAATAAGTATACAAAAAAGTGAAAGTATGAAAATGAGTGTGTGTGTAAGTGTATGAAAAACTTCAGGGTCAAGAAAAAAATCATAAAGAAAATGTTTGCAACAATTTAGTTTAACTTTCACTATGCAAGTTGCACATTATCCATTGTGACTTCATGATTTCACAACGTCAGACATGTATTTACAATGCACCTCAAAACTAATTTAGATAGAGTAATGAACTGATCTGAAAACAACGACTAATTTAGTTACAGACTCGGTTGGTTTCAAAAATATTAATAGGATAAATTATTTACCAGTCCGCTGAACATATCTTTGAAAGTATATAACATTGATTTATCATCTGCATAACGAATTTCTGCCAATCTTCCGGCTCTGTCGAAGTGATAACTTTCATTCAATCCTCCCCATCGCCATGTAGATAGACGTCCGAATCGATCGTAATCAAGTTCAACGCCAGCAAACATTCCATTCCTAAAATGAAAAAATAAAAAAATGAGGGGTATAGGAGCAATATTACAATTGAGAAAAATGACTGCTGTTCTCTTTAAATCATTTTTTTATCCTTTAAAAACATAGTAATTAAAAAAGTTTATGTATCTACTGATGTCTGATCTTTTTAAAAATGTTCCAAAATGAGTATGGATACCATGAAAGAAGATAATTTTCCAGGAAAATATAGTTAGGAAAATTAAGAAAATTTTCTGAAGAGATTCAAGCTTTTTCTCGGACCTCCAGAGGTCAAATTAATACATAACTCATTGGGAAAATTATAAAATGCTTACCTAGGACCCCACTTTGTAGGCCGAGATGTCCTGTCATAAGTAACATTCAGAAGCTCAACTCTGTCATCCATGAAAACAGCTACAGTGCCCGTCTCTCGATCATATTCCAGACTCAGCAGATTGTCACCATTGATACGCAGCTTGCGCACAACTTGAGCAATTGGTTCCTTAGGGCTTTTGTTGACGTGTCGTACCGAATATTTCCACTCGAAGCGATTTGCTAAATCACCGCCAATGTCTGTTTTCTGTTTGGCAGGTACAGGGTAGCTTTCCGCCAAAACTGGGTCTATATCAGCTAAAATAGGGTAAGAAACGGTATCGATACTGATTGTGTGTCCCCATGGTGCGACTGTAGAGACGCTGTTATCGCTCGATAACACAGACTGATATTCGGCTTCTCCTCGTTTGGTTACTACGGTCGATCCTTTGATTAGCATGGCAACTGGCTGTTTGTCGTCGTAGGTAACTTTGACCATGGCTCCTTTGATGCTCAGATCGAACGAGAGTTTAACAATCTTTCCGGTCGGTGTTACGGCACCTGTCAGACGTCCAAATTCATCATAATTATAGACATAACTTCTACCAGTTGAATCTAATTTGCTCTTCATGAGTCCGCTAGGACCATGATAATCAAAAGTGACATTGTAGTTGTCTGGAGTGCTGATTTCACTTAGGAGCTTCATTTTTGACAGCCTCAACCGACATTTCTGTCCTTTTGTGTTTTCAATCGAGTTGACTTGACTAGAGTAGTCTCGGAGCAAGAAAACTTTATTCCCAGCAGAGTCCGTTACTGTGCTTAACTTTCCATTGCTAGTGTTGACGGTGTAAGTGAAAATATAGCTCATTTCTCCAGTCAGGATATTTTTAGTGGCAATGTGTTGTCCAAAACGGTTGAATATGTAAAGCTCTTGAGATTCTGGCGAATAGACCTCGTACTCTCTCGCTGCGTTAGCTTCCGGTAGACTGGCGATTACCGAACGGATCCTGTAGTTAGCTTGGTCTGCTATGTGAAGGATTCCATCAGGAGAGACAATAATGGATGAGATGGTGTTGAATTTTGAGCTTGTGGCAAGGAAGTGATCTTCCTCAAAGCAGTCACAGCCTCTATCCAAGCAGTTGCATCTGGATTCTGCACCTACGTAATGCATAATTTTGCCATCAGTTCCAATGACACGGATCCTATTGATGCGTTGAGAATCACTTTCAGCTACATACAGGTCTCCGTTGGGACCGAAAGCGATACTTTGCGGCATCACCAAGGTGGCATGGGTGGCGAGTTCGATATCTGAGTGACCTTTGGCAGGGCAATGGAGAGGTCGGCCAGCAACGACTTTTACTCGGCTGTCTGATGTCAGTTGGAGGACCATGTGATCATCTATTACATGCAATGTGTCATCAAGGGGATTGATGGCAAGATCAGTCGGCCATCTCAGGTGGACTTCTTCGATATTTAATGTGCCTTCGCACGGGATCGGTTTCCAGTGGGATTTGTGCATGTGATTTCCGACGACTGTGGTGATGATTCCATCTCGATCGACCATGCGGATATTTGTGCCATCAGCAAAGTAAAGCGTGTTATCGCCTGAAACTGCAACTCCTGTAAGAAAGAAAAAATTGGTTAATTAAAAAAATGCATTTAGGAAGGCATAGTATCGAGTTTAAACGATTCCAAATTAGAACTGGGAAATCATTTCTTGAAAAATTTGACTTTACAGAAATCATTTTAATTGATTGCATGCTCTCTATAATGACATTGATGCGCAATCAATTACAAAGTAAAAAATTAATCTGACTGCTGAAAAAATTTAGGTGCTGAAAATTTGATAAAATATTTGGTAAAAATGCATGGAGCATATTAATACTTCTTTCTCACAGTAATACTGAAGAGCGTAGTTTCAAATTAAGACACTACAAAGAATTTGATGTGAAATGAAGGAATTCGTTTTGTCGAATCAGTGATACAAGTGGCAGTAATACAACAGTACACAACTGTAAAGTAAAATGAACCAACCTTTCGGATAAGCAAGTTTAGCATCCCTTGCTAGTGCTCCATCTCCACAATGAGCTTCATCTCCTGGTAAACATCTTTCCCCGGATCCAACAGCTGGAACCCAGTTGTGATCGGGATTTGAAAAATCATTCGGATCGCGAATTTTCAGTATTTGATGAGATTCTGGATCCGAGATATACACAGTGCCATCCAAAGGACTCAATGCGATATGATACCGATAAGAGACTCTTGTCACATTGAGTCTCACTACAGTTTTGACTGTTCCATCTACCATGATCCTCCGGATCAGATTGAAATCACCAACAAATATTGAGCCGTCAGGGGCAGCAGCAAGGGCAACTGGTGCGAGTAACCGTTGTTTGGTGCCAGCTGTGCCGTCGCATTCAGTCGAGCAGTCGAACGGACGTTGGTGTCCATCTCCGAGGGTTGTTTTGATGATGCGGGGTTTGTGTTTTAAGTAGATGTTTGAGCCATCACCTTTCTGCAGAATTCCTTCATGGAAATTATAGCGGTGGTGGATGTCTAAATTCCAACCTCCTACTTCAGAAATGCTCATGTCGTGGCCACTTAACTTGGTTGTTTGCACATCCCACATGATGTCTCGGCAATCTTTGTACTGATACCCGACTTTCACCAGAGCTGTTGTGACTCCATACACCCGTTGCCTGGAAAAAATAAGCAATCTGCGTTAGGAATGGCAAACTAATCAACCAATAGGAAGTAACAACAGTTGGATATTTATAACCTTCTTAAAAGGTTCCTTGTCAAAGTTAAACAATATCAACGACTTAGAAAACAAAGATTTTACTACAATAATTGCAGTGAACGATAATTTTCAAATGGAGAAAATGACACCATCGTTCTTTTGTAAGTTGAAGGAAGACTTTCACAAGTCAGAGAGGAGCTCATATTTGAAATTTCTCTTGTTGCACTGTGCATGAATGATCTTTTGTTTTGACTGATATTTTAAATCCAAGTTGGAGCAACCAGTTAGTTTCTGTGTTTTCCTTTCAAATTTACTCAGGAGATAAGTTTAGTTTCCGCCTACCTGTAAACGTTTAATCTGTTCCATGCGTATGTGAATTTGATGCCAGGATCAGCTTCAAAAGTTTTTTCGAAAAGAATTCCTTCAATCGTGATGCGCAAGTGGATCAACTGCAGGGTGTCAGGAATGGTTTCAGGTGTGAGTTGAAGCTGAATTGTTGAGAGGTAGCCTGCAGATCGGGAACTGTGATAGATTAAATTAAGACCAGTGCCTGGGATTTGGAAACTTTCTTGTACGACCTGAAAAAAGGAAATAACACAGGAGAAATTAATCACTTTAATTTAATCACATTAGTTAATCAGTTTTTTTTTCTTCTTCTTTGTACGAAGAAAACATTACACAATAGATTTATCTAACTAGACTTATCTTGAATAGACTGATATGTATCTCCTAATTAATCAGTATGGGATGATGAAAAAAAAAGTTGCTGCTGAAGATAATTCCTCATACCAAATTGTTAAGAAATTGTGTAACTACTTATGACTTTTTTTACCTACATAAATTTATTCATTTTGTCCAAAATTACTTTTACATTAGGGAGAATGCACTACGGTTTCATATTTATTTCATTTCCTCCATTTTTCCTAGAGTCTTTACGTTTATTCTAGGATGTAAAATATACAAACCTGCGATTCTGCCAAGATAGAGCTCCGATCTGGGCACGCTCCTTGGAAGCCGTGTTTCCATGTCGCTAAAACAACAGGTTTCATGAGGTCGTAATCATGAACCTTACAAGAAGATGATATGGTGCTCACAGCTTTTTCGTCTCCCATTTGCAGAACAATCGTATCAATGATAACAACCTGATGAATGAAATAAAACAAAAATGAGAAATTTGCTGAATCAAGTTATTTGAAAGGAGGATTAAAGGGGTAAAAGGTTAAAGAGTACCTCTTCCTTAATTGAGTGTTAAAATTAAAATAAAATGTTGAATGCCAATGGTTATATCTAGGATGAGATGGCAATCTTTTCGATCTTTTTTTCTTTGTTAAAAATGTAAGAAAAATCAGAAACTTAGGAGCTATTTTTCCGCTAGTATTCATTAGCAAATTACAATGTCCAATCGTATTCCAGACGAGGTGAAATATTAGGGGTAAAAGCTACCTAAATCAAGTAAAGAACCAGGAAGACGAACTGTTTTTTTACCTCATTCCATGGGACATTGATGATGCGGCTTTGCGACTTGAACGGGCTGCGCCCGAACTGGAGAGTGACCGCACCTCCACCATTGACTAAAATATCAAACCATCCATCATCTCGAGTCAACGTAAAGCCTTCCAAGGGGATACTCGTACTCACTCGTACACCCATGAGACCCATCCCCATTTGAGTGACCACGCGACCTCGAACCACTGCTGATCGACTGTAAAGACAAATCAAACATCATGAGAAAAAAAGAAACAATATAAAAATCAAACGAGTTAGACTGAGCACGAGGAATTATCTATTCCGGAGATGATATTTTGAATGCATACGCTGTGAACATATTGTGCTGCAAACAGTGAAAAAAAGATTAGATATTATCAGGAGTCATTGCAGGATGTGAGCAAGTTTTCATGAAACACAGCTTCCATGGTAAGATGGTTACTCGTCTTGTGACCGTTATTACTATTTGAGTGTTCATGCTTTTATCTTCGAGAGAGGTGGAGAATATGAGATCGAATAATTTACTGCCCTTAAAAATAGAGACATTAAGTGCAGCACACCGTAAGGATCTTGCATCCGTGTAGCTACCGTGATATTTCCAGAAGAAGGATCATTCATAGCCCCAATGTTGGGTGAAAAGGGAATGCCTATAGATGGTGGATCCAGGGAAGGGATTATTTAGAAAATTCAGCTTTTTAAAAATTTTAAAACAGAAATTCAACTTGAATTGACGACAAAAAATCCCAGAATTTTTATGACACAACACTTTATGCCCTCACAGATTATTTCCGTGAGAACAGGAAGGAAAAGCAAAATTGAATTGACATTTCGGTCAAATTGTCAGTCCCCCCCCTCCCCCTCGTGGCTTTGCATAAGGGTTCTGGGCTGTTATTTGGTGCAAAAATACTGCTGAAAAAAGTGATATAAATTTCTCGGTGTGAAACAGTGATCAACTACCAATTGGGGCTGAGAATAAAAAAACCAATGTTTTGAAAATTTCTCTTTGCATATGATACAATGGGAAAAAAAGAATGAGATTACAAAAAAGAAGCAAACATGTAAAACAAGACAAAAGGAGGGGTGGGAGAACATAAAACACAACATACGCATGCTTACACATATAAATACACACACAACTACTGGAGAGACTGAAATGTAAAGACTGACAAGAGATATTTTATGAAATAAAACTACGTAATGAAGGGGAGAAAATGCTTTTAACAAAAAAAAAAAAAAAAAAAAAAAAAAACTACAGAGGGTAACTAAGATAGAGGATATACTTCAGATGAGGGGAATAGGGGTTTAAAAAAATACTATAAATGAATTTCCTTCATCAATTCTTCTAATTTAATTCCGTAAGCACTACGTACTTACTACGCACTACACTTCCGTATTCCACTAACCTCATGAATTGATAATGTAACGCAAAATTTTGTTGTGAGCTATTAATTGTTCAAAGTACATATTTACTTTTCTGAGGAGAAACGTAATTGACGATCCTAGAAATGAGTTTCATATGCTAGTTCATCTTTGAAAGTAACACTTGTGAGGATCCTCAGAATCATTTTAGGAGCAAAAATAGAAAAATAAATCCTACCATCAGGGATTTTGTGCCATAGATTTAAGAAGTAATTTTAGATTACAGACCCTAAACAATTGATGAATTCTTGGAGAACTTATGGTCCTTCATAAGGATTGAATGGAGGGGAAAAAAATAATGAGAGGAGATTTGATGGTAAAATGAGTAAAAGGGAGAACGTGTGAGGTAATTTGGAGAGGTCAAATAAATTGACAGTGCCATTTTATGCATCCTTACCTTGCATTGAAGTAGTTCCAAAAAACACTGAGCAGCGTTAAGACATACGTTATTATCCGTTAGCCTTTTATCAATCAATTTTACCAAGAAAGTATTTTAACATTTTCAACAATTAAAAGTTCTTCCATAGATTAATGCTTGCTTAGCAGAGCTTAATTTTACATCGATAACTCCAGAGAGAAATTTATAGGCAGAAAGAAAAAAAAAATTGTTTAAACAAATGAGACTTTTCCATGAAGCCTGATAGGTATATCAAACCCTCAGCTCTTCAAATTTAAAAGTTATGATCGATAAATCTGGAAGAATTTTTCATTATGAATGAAGTCTTAACCAATTATGACATTGATTTTTAGGTTGAGTAAAAAATAAAAGATCTTGAGTGACTCACAATCACACAAACTTCTGGCGAAGAGGAAATTCAGTTCAAATAATCTGTGGAGTGAAAGATTGCTCACCTCAGCATAAGTTACGCACCAAGATTACCAATGTAAATATAATATTTTGATTCAAATGCGAGGAGAGCTCCTAAGCTCAAAAAAGAGAAAATCGTAGCCGAAAACTAAAATAGACCAAGTTGGGGCTAATTATATAAAATTTGTAAGTTTTAAATTTTTTTTGGTGCTCACAAGAGAAAATACGATATTTTATCAAATCTACAGAGAAAATTTGAACTGAAAACACAAATGAACACAACATACAATCACTCGATTGGTGGGGTGAAACATGGATGAAATTCACAAGGGGCACAACACCGCATAGAGATGACATCACTTTGACGATTTAGAATCAGAGTATGAGAGGAAAAAAAATGAATATTCTATGTTACAGTTTGGACTAAGAAATAGATGTCCTTTGAAGATCGGAACAGGAGAGAGAGACATAAATAAAAAACGGGAAAGAAAGAACTGAACAGATTAAAGAGAAAAATAAAAAGGTTAAAAAAACCATCACTTCTCCCACGTACTGCAAAATTGTGGAGTGGAAACGAAAGAGGGAATCTTTCTTGAAGTTTCATTTCCAAAATTTAATTGAAGGCTGTATAAAGTGATACCCATCAACCTAAAAGAGAGTTTCAAAGTACTTTCATTTGGTTTGAGTTCCTCAAGTTGCAATCTTCTTTTAGTTTGAGGGTTTACATACATACAGCCTCCGCAATTTGCCACCGTAAAAGTGATAAAGTGATTTTCACTCACAAGGAAAGAAAATTGAATGAATCAAAGTATTTACCTTTCATTGAAATTCTCCTGCTTTGCATAGTTTTGAAGGCTTCCTTCTTCAATTAAGAATTTCATCCTCTCAAAGAATGAGGCAGTAATAGCTGGCGGCTGCTTCCTCAACAAAATGTCAATGGGTTTGGGAGCTAAAACGCAGAGCTGGCTACTTCGGCACAGGTGATTAGAGCAACATTCAGGATCTTCACAGTCCATTAAACCATCTGTAGAATTGAAAAATTCATGGTAAAATATTTAATCACTTATTCAGACACTCGTAACACTTTTTCCCTCATTTAATCTTGATAATATTTTGACTATGCGGAAATGAATTCCAACTTTTGACAGAAAGACAATAAGCTTGGCTGTTGGTTGAAACATTCAAATATTCTACCACTAATCAGGTATACCTTTGAATTAATATATATTTGTGCTGGCTGCATTTTAAAATCAACAGCTATTTTCTCAACAGTATTGAATTGCAACAAAGTTTGAGTGGCACTCAAGAGCACTTAGAGCTTAAAAACGTACTGTTATCGCTTACCTTTGTCGTTATCTCTTCCATCTCCACAATTCTGTTCGAGAAGAACACTGCAATCTTTTCCATCCCATCCGTCAGAGCACCTACACTCCCATTGGCTGTCAGAGTTGACTCTACATTGTCCGTGCCCTGAGCAGCTGTTGGGACAGCCCTCAAGGGTACAATGTCTTCCATTCCAGCCGGTAACACAAAGACAAGTCCCGTTTTTGCATTGACCGTGATCATTGCACCTGAAAATATTAAGATGCAAAGTTGTTACAGCTGCTGTAGTACATAAGAAAATAAAACTGTTTTAGAAAAAGTTTTAATTGAAGCATTTCTTTGAGTGTCCTCTTGACAAGCAATATGTCGATGACATTTTTTGGATTATCTATACAATTTTTTAAAATTTAGCTTAAATTGAAGGGCCAGGGATCTCTTAGTCAACTAGAAGTTGGTTTCTGAATTTCAATATGATGATGAAATTTTTGGAGCCCTCTGAATATTTGAACGACAATAGAACAAAACTAATACACATTAGACATACCTAGAATCGCAGAGTTTCTGATTACAAAAATCTCCTGTCCAGCCTGGGTTGCACTGACAGGTGTTCCCGACACAGTGACCGTTTAGTCCACAATCTAAGTCACACAGCTCTCTGGAGCAATCTTCACCAGACCACATTGCTTCGCAGATGCAAGACTGGGTCTCAAGGTCGAATTTGCCATGTCCTGAGCAGTCAGGCAAACACTGGAGTGCATCCTTATCCATTTCACTGCAGTCGACACTTTTCCAGCCTTTCTTGCAGACACACTGGCCAGCTATGCAGAAACCATGTCCAGAGCAAGTTGGATGGGGACAATCGGCTGGAAATTCAAAATTTAAAATAAATTACATGGGAATGTAACCACCAATCGACAAATACTTTCAATAACTATGAACGATCAGAAATGTAGGGCGAACGACAAATTTTTAAGACCATGAATCTAGCACAAGCCAAATTCCAAACTAAGATCTTTAAGTATATTAAAATGATTCAACAGGGCCACTTCTATAGCCAATACTGTAAAATTATGGTCCAGTCGATATGTTTTGTACACAATAAGTAAAGAAAAAAGTATTCCATGACTCACCCTCTTCGCAAAATTTGCCCTTGAATCCTCGAGCGCACACGCACTTTCCATTTGAGCAGTGCCCATGTCCGTTGCAGTCGGGAACCTCACATTCATCGTGACGAAGGTTACATTCTTTGCCTTTCCACCCTGGATTACACTGACATTCACCGTTGACGTATTCTCCTCTTTGACTACACAATACTGGACAAACACCTGAAATCATAACGTTCGATCAGTAAATATTACTCACAGTAACATTACAAAATATAATTTAATAGCTTTTCATGCTAAACTCTCTGTCAAATATGAAGGAAGGAGTTTCGAGTGGTATGTAAAAATTTCACTTTTCCACAGCATGAACGTGGATATTTTGACAAAAATAGGTGGTGAACACGTCAAAAGTTTACATTCATTTTTTGCTGTCATTTTAAACATTCTAGGTCTACATGCTAAAGTAAAATTTCTTATCTTCGTCAAAAAACTTCCATCTTTGCCTCTCGCAAACTTAGCAAAAATTCAATTTATTGGATTCACGTTGAATTTTTTTATTTTGACAGAAGAAAAAAGTACCTACGATGCCTTGAAAAGTCCCCTTTCCTGTTCGTCATGGTTGATGCCCAAGCCTCATTTTAAATTATTCTTTGGGTTCACCCTTTGCATGGCTCTTCAGTCAATAATGGTTTTGAATTTACAGACTTCAAAGCAAATGATTCACTGTTAATATTTGAGTGTTGTAACAGGACACATCGGAAAATCTACAACAGGTTCAGCCTATTTACTTTTCAAGAACAATTCGATCTTTATTGTACCTTGTATTAAGTAGATTAGTTACTTATCAGGTTGAAAACTGATTTGAGGCTGATTCCCACAATTAACTTACTTTCACTGCAGTCTTCTCCACCGAATCCAGGCGTGCACTGACACCGGCCCATTAAACACTGTCCTTTGCCATTGCAACCACCAGGGCAACTCTTGGTAAGCTCATCGGACACTGCGGCAACCAGAATAACTTCTTGCGCATCACCATCATCATTGTACAGAGACAAAAACCAATGACCGGGTTCCAAGTAATGCATTATTTCTTTCTTCACGCTTGTCTGCTGTGGACAGGACAAATGCAAAAACGATGATTAGGAGAAATTGAAGATGAAAGTTGACAGGGAAAGCACCTGATTGGCCGATAAGTGGAAGAGAGATGTATGTATGTAATTACAATGTGTTAAAAAATTTCAAGTTAGGCATAATGAGCGAAAAGTAAAAATATCCTCGCTCCAGATTTGCAAGAAAAGAGAGAGTAAATGTCTTGTCTTGGAAATTTTACTGCAAGCGGTTGAAAAAAAAAAAAAACAACTTACATGTGATGCTCTCGTGAGTCTCGCTTTATAGCCACTTAAGACCTCCAGAAAATGATATTGTGTGTGGGTTGGTAAGGCATTTCTTCTGGCATACATGGCAATATTTGCCCCTCTTGGAATGTTGAAGTCAAATTTGATGTAAGCTGCTTCTGACTGGTAGAATTGCATGTTCCAATAGCCATACGGGGGGATTTCGTTGGATAGTTTTTGGCCGATTGAGATCTGAGCAAACGTTGTACCGTCTGGAGGAAACGACCTTGCTGGAAATGTTTTTGTACCTAAAAAAATATTGACTGATGTTATTATGGCATGAGGAAGAGGGAAAATTTTTTGTCTGCACAATAGATGATAGTACACTAAATTTGAAGCTGACTCAAATTCTCTTTATTTACACCGAATTTCAACTTTATTATAAATGCTTGATGCAGTTGAGAGAACTGACAAAAAAAGTGCCATCAATTACGGTGGCAAAAATATAAGCTGCACACATGAGATACATGCGGCTTTAAAATAGAATATTGCTTCTCTGTCATTTTTTCTTCTGCTTTCCTCATTCAGCTTCAGATGAATTAGTCTAGTAAAAGTAATAACACTGAAACATTCTTTGCTGCATGGTTTCAATCCTTAAAACTTTTGGCTCTTATTTTTTATCAGAAACCAGTATGACTTCTTCACACCAACAACGAGTTTACATTCCGCTCAATTTAAAGTTGTCAAAACTGCAGGAGCAATATAAGTAAAGTACTGGTAAGTACTGGTTTTTTGATAAAAAAGAAAACAATGACTGCCTGGTTTAATTTTTGCAAACGAATGTTTCAATAAAATGGCATAATGGAGCAAGATAGTGCATAATACATACTATGATGGCATCCGACGAAAACATCCAATAAAAAAATGAAAAAATGAAAACTAGCAAGGGCAATCAAATTTTTAAACAAGCTGTGATTAGGAGCCAACCACCAAAACTATTCCAAATGGATATTACTAGAAACTTGGACAAAACATCACAGTAAAAATCTTGGACGACACAAACATTGGCACGATACAAAATAGAGGTGAGAAAATGCTTAAAAATCCAGAACCACACCAGCTAGCTGAACCATGCATTAAGGGTGTGTTCCATGCAGGTAAGAGGCTCAATAACGCAATCTTGCACTGCCACTATCAATATCAAATTCAAAATTATCTATGCAAAACTAAGCGCAGGAGAAATTAGAACGTTTTTATTTAATGCTTCCTAAAAATGATCTCTTTTTGTTGATTATAATAATCTGAGAAACATTATTACAGGCGGCAAACAAATTCTGCCTCCAGTAGTAACCTTCCATTCATTTCAGAGAAAGGGTCAGTGGACTTAGTCAAAACGGTAGCACAAACTATATAGCATGTGTTCTCTTTAAAATTTCATGTGAAATTTGAAGAAATTTTAACAATTCTGAAGCTAACTCCTGAGTTGGATTTTATGGATTGGCATTGATTAAATGGAAAAGAAGACAATTTTTTATTTCTATTTCTTTGCAGCAGGTAGATCAACTTCACTCGATCTTAAGCATCATTAACTCTGCCAAGAGTCAATGTTTCAACACATTACTGTGTTTAGCCTGCGCTAAAATAAAACTGAAAAGAGAGGACATGTTTGGTAGTTTTAGGCCGATGAGCCTTATCTGCCAGTCCTTTGATAGACCCTGTAGGGGAAGGATATTAGAATTAGAATACTAAATTTACCTTCTTGGACTAGAATAAGAGGAGGTGGAGCTGTTGGACATGCCACCTGGTTATCTTCGACAGTGAACTTTGACGTTGCTGACCCAATCTCGGTCGGTTCAGAGTCTTCGTAATCTTGATTTAGTTCAGATGTCATTTCGATTTTGGGTTCGTAAGGAAGCGTGACAATTGAGGAGGGAACGCTACTTAAGGTAGAGGAGAGTTCAAGGAAAGGTTTAATTTCAATCGAAGGATTTTCCGACACTTCTGAACTATTTTCTTGAACTGAGTATTCTTTAGACGAATGATTTCCTACTGACTGATCGGAGCTATTGCTTAAATGCGGCGCGTTTTTGACTGTTAAAGGAGCGGCCGTTTTGTCTGCGAAGCCATCTTCAATCCCTGTAAACGAGGACTCAGTAATTATTGACATACTTGGATTGCTTTCAGAAGTGCAAGGGCAAAAACACTGGCTTTCAGAAGGTGAGCTGCTGTTTTCGATTGTTGCACTTTCTGTGCTGCTCAAAAACTCTTTCTGGTCTGGACTAAGTTTTTTTTCCTCTTCCATCCTGATGGTTTCAGTGCTATCACTCGCCTGAGTTGTGAATTCCAACTTTGGTGGTAAAGAATTTGGGGCTGTCGGAACGGAGAGCGTTAAAGTATAAAATGGTGTCTTCGGGGTCAAATCGTTCCCAGATGAAAGAGTAACGTCTATGAACACTCGCCCCGATTCAGCCTCATTGATTACCACAGGTCCAGACTTTCTTATTTCTGCTTCGCTAGTGGTTGTTAAGACAGGTTCAGTTTCATGCAAAGTATTGATGTTTCCATGCACCGAGTACACATTTTTGTTAGTAGAATTTAGTAGAGTGGTGCTACTGTTCTCAACGGTAATGTTCATAGGTATCTGCATGGATACATTGTGGATGCTTGATAAAATGTCTTCTAGAGACTCTGATATATTTTTTACTCTGTCTGCATGTATACTTCCTTCTTGAGGAATTTCATTCGTCATATTATTAGGGATTTTCGTTGCATTTTTTTCTTCAGCTCTCTGGGCATCACTTTCCTCGTTTAAAATTTTGTTCGTCAAAATTTTAAAGTCTGTGTTGTTGGCATCACTTGATTTCATTCGATCATCAGTTTTTTGAATGGAATTTTCATCAGAGTTCTCAACCCTGTACAGGGTATCAGACAAATCAAACTTCTCATTTAAAGGCTCGAAGGAAAATGGCTTCGAGACTGGCTCGGAATTGACAAAAGACTCATCATTCATTATTTCTGACTGATCTGTGTAACCTTCATGATTATCCAAGAATGAAGGGAGACTCTCTGCTTCCTCTTCTGAAATTCCTGAGGCTTTCATGGTTTTTTCTAGACTTTCAAAACTTGGGATCACTGTAAAATCGGTGAGAATCTCCTCTTTTCCTAGAACCGTCATATTTTCTTGTACATTCTGTGACTTTACTTGATCGCTAGTCAAAGAATGAAATATTTCCCCATCAGAGATGTTATTAGAAGTGTTAGTAGATGAAATAAAGGAACCATTCACCACGGAGAGTCCAATCACCGATTCTTGTGTTGAAGAAGCATATAAAGAAGGTAAAGTGTTAATTAGAATAGTAGAGTTATTAAAAATTATGTTATCATGCTGAGGTGAATACGAGCTACTGTCATGCATTTCTACATCAACTACTGGTGCAACTACATTGGAAGTCAAAAATTCCGGCCTGGGCACAAATTCCCCTGAGATGAGGGGAGGAGGAATTTGGGGCTCAAAATCACTGTCCACTCTAACCATCCCTCCTTGTAAAAGGCTAGATTCTGATTGAAGATTATCAGCTTCATTAGGTTCCAAAATGTGACTGCTGTTACTGGATACTAAAGTATTGGGAGAAGAGTATGGTGACACTTGTAAGTCTAAAATATCATCAATTACTGACGGAGACGTCGATTCCTCGATCTCCTCAATTCCTCCATCTTTCGGTAGATTTCCAGTTACAAAACTAGAATCATCTACAGGATTTGGATGGAGACTTTCATGCTGAGGTTCATCCCAGTCAGTTGCACTAACTTCATTTCTTTGAAAAGTTTTTTCAAGATTCTCAGTCTCCGGAAAGAGATTTGCACTTTCGAATTCCATTAAACTCAGATGGCCAACGGGTCCTTCCTCTTGGTCATTTACTGTGGAAATTTCCAGAGTATTTTGGGTTGGAGGGGGTGAGGGGTTAGTGGGTTCAGAGAAGTCGAAAGGAGGTTCACTACGAGATGCGTGTGAATTAAGAGCATGCTCTACGTCCAAACCACTACTTCGCTTTCTACGCTTCACACGGTATTTTGTCATACCTCCAAGACTGGAGGCTGGAGTCGCAGATGGTTTAGGTCGACTGACTGACGTATTCCTGTTAATTCCAGCATCGGGAAGAATTTTAGCTAATGATTCGCTACTTTCCTCATTGACTAGAACTGTACACGCCTTTGTACTTTCATAAGACCAATGCAATATGTTTGCCACTGGAAATAAAATGATAAGCGTTAACAGCATTCACAAGCAGTTTTAGTAAGGGAATAGGTTCGAAAATATTATCCTAAAACTATACAGTCAAAGTCTTTCATGAAGATAGTCTTAATAGAAAAACCAAAATTCTTTCACGATAATGGAAAAAAATAATGTGTTTACACTCTTATCTCATTTTGAAAAATTCTGTCTAGTATAAATTATATGAAATACAGGCTTTCAAACAAAAGTTTGTTGTTGAAAGTTCCTTTAGACTTAGGATTAAAAGAATATTTTTGGTGGGGAAAAATCTTTAAAATGAATGCTCTTCAAAAGTAGCGTGCGACTTTGACTGCATATTATGTAAACTTAAAAGAGTGTTAATTGGTGGAAGCTGTACTGAATATCTGTCCATTTTAAAGCACTGTGCTGATAAGCAATGCACTGTGTAATTCCGATGAGAGTAATGCGATGGGCCTTCACAGGACGAGTGAACAGAAACATTAAAAAATAAAATATAATAATTTTTTGCTCTGCTGATTAAAGGTACAAGTCCATTTTTACAAGAGCCTTTGAGCCCTTAACAGAATGGGGCTTTAAGCATAAGATGGCTTATCTGAAACACTGTTAAGCCTTCATATTGACCAAGGAGCAAATTGAGCAGAATTCGAGTGTTAGTTCTGCGTAGCGTGGGTGATATTTTAAAATATTTTATCTGTTGCAGGAATCTGAACATTACAGTTGGAGAAAATGATTCCATACCTACTCAAAATTTCGAGATGTAAGAAATTTTAGAGTTGTGAGTGATTAATATAACTTTATAATAAACTGAGGTAGCTAAGTTTATTATTTAAATAAAACATTTTAATTTTGAACTCGAACCAGTAAGTTCTCTAGGTGAAAATATATTTAAAATTTATTGAGTGAATGCAGACATCCACCTGAGTATTTAGAAAACCCTCTCTGAGGCTTGATAAAAACAACAGAACTTAGATGCTATTGGAAACACAAATAAAGGAAAAAGACCCATTTATAATCCTCTCTTGCCTCGGTTGCCGATAGCACTAAAATCGACATATAAGTTCTCTTTTAATGTTATTTATCTTTAAACGTAACGTTGAACAAACACCGACTAAGTTTCATGACTAGCCAATGGACAGAACAGTTGCATAAATGCAGATTGAAACATTTTCTTTTTAAAATGAGACAAGGTAGGTATCATTAAGTAGCGTTAGAAGCACACATATTATTCCCTTATACACCTTGGTAAGTTTAACAGCTAAACTAGGGCTGATAGCTCAAGCTATGGTGCACAATGAGGAATGTTTTTTATACCGATGATGATGAAGTGAGCAAATGAATTTTGAAAAGATGCCTGATATTCTTTCCCACGCTGAAGAGTCGTAACTATGATGCAATGTTACAGCTCCTCAAGAGATATTTATGGTTATTAATAAATTAAAGTCTGCAAGCTGATTGGCACATCCAAGTATCACACTGAGCAAGGAGATTACCAGATTCAACTGAACATTATTAGGTACTTCATTTCAGCCTATTTTTGTTGCGAAAAGATGTCAGGTAGCAGACTAATCGGACTGCCAAAGTTCATTCCGGTTATTATACTATCATAGAACTACAGGAAAAATTTGCAAGTTCATGGATGCCAATGTCAAGCCAGAGATAGGTATTATTTATGGATACTATTAACATTATAATACAATTACGACTCTTTAGTTTGTTACCTATCGAATGAAAAAAACATGAAACAGCAGGTTTGAATACTTACATGTCATATAGGCTAAAGTGGCAGTTAAAACTAAAGAGAGAAGAATGAACACAACAGCTGTGCATTTCCATGAACACCTTGATGCAAATCCTTTTTGGAACTGAAATCGAGGAGGTGGGAAATGATGTGTTGATGTTGGCCTACGTAAGTTGTTTCTAACGGGCTGTACATGTACAGGATGCCCGTAACCCAAATTATTCCTGAAAAAAGGGTAAGATCTGTTAAAAAATTTTACAAAGACAAAAATCTTCGACAGTATATTAAGAGTTTCTGGAGAGATACTGATCACTTCCAACTGGAACTGGCGAAAGACCATGCAAAATTAATCCTAAGTAATCCATGTTCTGACAGGACATAGAAATCAGAATAATAATCGTAGAAGCCAAATTCATTTAAAATATTAGTTAAACACCATCTAGGGCACAACATGCCATTCAGTGTACTTGGTGACAAAGAAACTTGGCTTGCAGAGAAAATAAGATTGTAATGGAACATTTAATTTCCAATTTCATGGGCGCAGAAATCTCACGAACAATATAATTATAGAAGTTATATTAACATAACATAAAGAGATAACAAGTTCTACCCAGATTAACGTCTTCATCTACACTTTATTATGGTCTTTGGTGAGTAAAATAAATAAATAAATAATTGAAGTAGAAAGAAATTAATTGGAGACAACCCTAGAATATCCCTCTTTATGATAAAGGAATGCATGATATGGAAACTTACCTATCATTTTTTGAAAGTTCTTTAGACGGACTACAACAAGAAGTGTTGGATTTATAATCCAAAGGGTTTTTCGGCACATCTGAAAAACAAAGAATTGACAATTACTTAGCATCGAAACTAACTGAACTAACTGAGCTATATGAACAAATAAAAACTATGTCTTCTTTTATTTTAAGATCAAATAATTTTTAGATTTTAGTGCACTAGTGCACACGTGGGTTTGTATTGGTTTGCTTTAAAATTTAAATTTGGAGGTCATTTATTGTTGAGCCACTGATGCCAACGCACTATCTTGAGTCGGTTTTTCTTAAAACAGATCAATGAACGTAATGACTAATGACATGTAGAAAAATGAACGAAATCGCCTGATGTACATCAGGATTAAGATACCTACGTATGTTAACGAGCTAAAAGTGCACAGATTTGAATCAATAAGCGATTGACAGAATGACACCGCAGGCATTTAAAATATTTTTTCCATTAATGTTAGTGGCAGTATTGACAAGTCTAATAAGTTGCCTATCTTCAAAATGCAAGGCGAACTGTGAGTGGCGGAATCTAATGAATGCAGTTTTATTCTATCCTCAGGGAAAGATGATGAACTGGAATGTTTGAGACTGATGCAGAACTGTTGAGGCCATTACCTGCTGGTATGTAGACATTGCCGGAGGGCGTTCTGACAATGCATGACGGTTCAAAATCGTCATCTAGGTCTGTGTGATGTGCGTGAGGGAGGGGGATGTCCCCCAGACGAACGGGGAGACGATTCATGGTCGGATTTCTGGGAGGCACATCAGGAGGATGAGGATCCAACAGACATCCTGCAACAACAAAAATTGAAATTCATCATGAGAATAATGTTAAGAGCAAGGAGAGACAAAAACTTTGCCATACATAAGTGTTGAATCTGATTTAAAAATGAACTCATCGCGCCTTCAATTTTGCAGACGCAACACGGACATCCATCAAGCACGAATAGTTGTATCTCTGCACCGTCATCAAACATCTTCTCTTACTTTAATTCCGTTTAGTGTTGGTTCCACGCGTCTTTGAAGTTGTGCTTCAAGGGCTACTCAAAAGTTTCAGAAAAAAGCATTTCTTACCTTCGAAAACTATAAAAATTAATATATTTGAGTATGGGTCACTTTGACCCGACTTGGGACTTCGCGTATAGAAAAAAAAGTCTTGGGCATCTAGGGGTTAAGTTTGCACTGAATTTACTCTAGTGACTTAAGAGAATTCACAGCATTTAAGATGAACTGCTGGTTAGTTTCCCTTCTAAAAAATACAATATGAGTGAAGATTTTGGTGGTCAGAGTGCGAAACCACGTATTTCCGTTTGCGACGTTGCAGACTTCCTGCCATACTTTATATTTTCTTTGGAAAACTACTCAACACAATTTTTTCATAACTTCTTTGATATTTTCTTCTTTGTTACCATGATATTCTGATAGGAATGTCGGTTTGTTCCTCTTCGAGCGAAATGAAATTGGAGCGGATATTTTGAAACGCCGCACTGGAGGTATGTGGTTTTGCACTTGGGCCATCGATTTGCAACTTGACAATAATTGAAGGCACGCATTTTTCGACTTTATCCACGGATATGCATCCCTTCTCGGTCCATCCGACGTTCAACTCTGATCGTTACTGATGAGTGGCGACCTTCCGAGAATAAATACTAACGAGCTAAGGAAAAACGCCGTATAAACATTGGAGAGTTGCCAAAATTCCTTCGATAAAAAGTTTATTTTTTAGGAAAGCTATGGATATTTTCCCTTGGAATTTTCAGGAACTTTTGGTGAAATTGCGAACAAAATTATCCGAAAAATCGGCAGAAAAATACATACAAATTTTCCCGAAAACTCGCAATTTTCTAAAGGAAATTTGACAGCGCCTGGAGGCTCATACGGCGTTTTTCCTTAGCACGGCAGAAAACCACTACCACCGACCGATGAGACACGGACAAGCCCTCGAAACGAACCTCTTTTGGCCTATTTCGGCCCTCCAGCCCTCGAAACGAGCCTCTTTTGGCCTCTTTCGGCCCTTTCAGGGTCTTTTGGTGAAATTGCGAACATAATTATTCGAAAATTGGAAGAAAAATATATGCGAATTTTTCCGAAAACTCGCAATTTTCTGAAGGAAATTTGACAGCGCCTGGAGGCTCATACGGCGTTTTTCCTTAGCACAGCAGAAAACCCCTACCACCGACCGATGAGACAGGGCCAAACCCTCGAAACGAGCCTCTTTTGGCCTCTTTCGGCCCTCGAGCCCTCGACCCAGGAGCGAAATCCAACTTTTCACTTAATTTAAAATATTTCCCCTCCGGTTTCCACCCTCGGCGCGCGGCGGAGGTTCGAGTTCCGGGTGCGCGGAATTTTCTTTTGAAGAACGAGGACCCCCGCAAAGCTGATTAAGATTGAAAGTTTGACAGGCGAGGCGGGAGGGGAGGGGAGGGGGGGCGATGCAGAGGAGCCGAGATAAAAAAGATAGACGCCCACCTCAGCGGCGGCGTCCGCGGTGGCGGGTGGGGGGAGACGGGGTCGGGGAAAACTTTTGTTTTTCCAATCGCATCGTCGGCCGGTAATAAACAGAAACATCAAAGTAAATAATACCCAGATAATAATCGGGGAACGGAGCCGGCGTCTGAATTTATCGGGAATATCTTTGCGTCAGCTTGCGGGTGACGCTGCCGATTTGCTCGCAGAAATTTGAAAATTTAGATCTGTGGCAATGAAAGTTGCCTTGAGGACACACGACGTGAAGCAGACGAAAATTCAGTATGTTGGGGGTTTTTTTTTTTTTTTGGCCAACGTGCGTTAAAAATTAAGCATAAACCTCCAAAATAGTGTCTTCCGATCTGTGCGTCCATCGCAATTAGTTTGCGAGGAGGAAAAAATTGTTAAAAATTTGTAAAAGGGTTGTAAAATTTTACTGAAAAGGACTTTTTACTCGTATCCGTGACCAAAAAATAAAAAAAATAAAAAAACGCAACGAATCCAGATCACTTGATTTTTTTACCTCCTTTTCTTCTCACAAAATTTTACATCAAGTTCGTGAACTTTAATTATTCGCCCTTTTTACGTAGGGACGACTTTTAAACTTTTAAAAATTATTAGTTGTATGAATATGTATCATTGTTATTATTTTTTTCAACAAGTTAGGAAAGTTGGGCAAGTAAAGGCGTTTCCGGCAAGTGCGCTATGGTTGCGCTGCTTTCTCACAAAATTTGGGGGTGCATCATTATTTTTATAATATTTATATTTAGCATCAACCACAAATACTTGGAAACACTTAGCCATGTGTCTGTGCCCTTTTCGTGTCAATTTTGCCTCCTACAAGTATTCCGTAGAAATACACTAAGTATTGACACATGGCATTATGATGCTCATCTTATGGTCACTAATTACACAACGATAAAAAAAAAAATAACATTTATCTTAGTCATTTAAAACTGTTAGCGCGTTAAAATAAAGAAAATTAAGCGTTACAGCCGGCAGCACAGCTTCCTAGCTGGCGGGGCGGGCAGGGCCCAAGATGAGAAAGAAGAAAAATTAACACCATCGATCCCCCAAGATTGAATACACGGAGAAAAAGCAACAAAACCCCTCACAACCCCCGCTTGCCCCGCAGGAAATAAGAGTTTAACCCTCGCACCCCCACCCCGCGCTTCCCCCAAGACTTCGCGGCGGAAAATCGAGATAAGCTCCGATCCCGTGCGGATTGTTATTTTATTTTGATTTATTTTGGCCCTTAAAAAGAGTTCCGTGTTCATTTCATAGTTGTCGACGTGGTCTCTTCACCGTCCCGCCATTGAATTTGAGGATTGGTGAATAACTATTCGTGTAGCGGTTGTCCGATCGAGTGACACTGTATCACGTGTTGCAGCTAACAAATCTGAAGGAGAAACGAACGGACAGTCAGTGCAAAAAGGGTGATGATTAGTTCTGTTGAATCAATACTTCATTGAAGTGTAAACCTTATGTTACTTGGTGGTCAACGTTTGGTGACTTTTTGCTTAATATGTAGGTGCGACGAGTATAAAAATACTTCTCGAGAGAGATGTTTATCATAAATGCTTGAAAATGGGGGAAAAAAGTTTTTTAGACTTGCTTTAGCACGAGCAAATTTCAGAAGTTCAAAGTCGGATTATCCTGACGTCTTACGGATACATTTTTTTAGCTTTCTAGCAACGGTTTTTCAGAAATTTTCGACTTCTCAGCTAATAGATGCTTTGGACGATCTTAGGCCGACAGAAAAAAATATTTACATTGTTTCCAACACCTCCGAATTTCGGAAACAAAAAAATACGCCAAATGTGTCACTCTATGGACTTTAAAATGGACGTATTTATGCTAAAAGGAACTATGTCGTACGTAAAACCTATGGACATAGTTTCTTTTAGCATAAATACGCCCAAATCTCAAAGACTCCGGGGGGTGAAGTATCTCAATGGACAAAGCCCTCTCATGAGTTTTTTTGTCGATCAAGCTCGTTCGACGAGCTGTCGATAATGGGCATGTCGCGGGCCGGGGTTTCCAGACGGGCCACGACTACTGGACACTGACCCACGTCGAATCCCTGTTTTGGTGCATCATCAATCATTTAGGGGTTGACCAATCGCCATCACGCGGTGCGACTAATCACCAGCACAGGTCGCCCCCCCTCCCTCGGCGCCCCCTCATCCCCCCCTTCCCCCTTCCGGTGATTCGCACTCATTCGACTCTGCCTACACTTAATGGGAAGATAAATAGACGGTCGGCCGAGAGGGTTCAGAGCGATGGGGAAGGGGGGCGGGGAAAGTATTGGGAGCATACCGGAGTAGCACGCTGTCGATGATGCCAGGGTGGTGAAAAATCGTTGAATTTTTCATTATAATGAAGTATTGAAGTGCGCACTGGAAAAAAAACCCACATTGGATCTAGAGTCCAGACTCTTGAAAACATTAACAAGAAAATGGATTTTTGATTCAATCAGATTTAAGCTTAAATCAAAAGGAAATCCGCTCAAATTAAGAGGCTTGGTTCTTGATTTAAGCTTAAATCTGATTGAATCAAGAGTATTTTTTCTTGTCGANTTTTTTTTTTTTTTTTTTTTTTTTTTTCCAGTGCGTCAAAAATGTTGAGAGGCTTCGCGGTTTTGGAGAAATGGCCGGAATTCGACGAGGATTCAAGTTAAGTTTTGAGAGACACAGCCGGAAACTGAGGAATACAAAAAACTGAAGCTGAGAAAAACCCTGCTCCTCTGATGATAAACTGGATTACATTTTCCATAAAGAACTATAATTTCTGGCTCATTTTCAAAGAGCGTAGGTGCAAGTATTGTCCTACGCAGGTAGTTGCTTTTATGGATGAGCTAGAAATGGTAGTTCACTGGAAAAAAAACACATTGGATCTAGAGTCCAGACTCTTGAAAACATTGACAAGAAAAAATACTCTTGATTCAATTGGATTTTTGCTTGAATCAAAACGAAATCTGCTTAAATTAAGAGGTTTGGTTCTTGATTTAAGCTAGATCCTGATTGAATCAAGAGTACTTTTTCTTGTCAATGTTTTCAAGACTCTATGTCCATGTTTTCTGGACTCTAGATCCAATGTGTTTTGTTTTTTTTCCCAGTGTAGTTCCTTTTTGCAAAATGTAGTCCCAACTGTGAATCTTTGAGATTGCCGAAAGCGGGTGGTTTTGATTGGCGGGCGGCAACGGTGTACTGGATGGGGTTCTTGCTTCGATGCCCGTGTCCAGTGTCCTACTGTTTGCTCTCGAACTAAACCAATTTGCATGTAAGCTCATCAGAGTGACGAAGCGGCTGGAGTGGCAAACAGCG